AACATTTGCTCCCCGTACATCATGTGTTGAGCTTTGTTCATGAAAATTGGTTTGAAATTGGATTTAATTGAACTACCTTTGGGTTTTGGTTTCTCAAATTGATTTTTGAAACATGTTATATTATGGGTTTTGAAGTGTTTTCAAAAAAATTAGCCCAAAAGGATCGAATTCGGTACATTGAAACTTGGTTTTGAACTTGAGGTTCGAATCTGGAATTTCCAGAATTTGGACTTCCGCTTGAGCGGGGTTACTGGCGCTCAAGCGGGAAAATTATGTTCCCAGTACTTTACACTGTTTTACAGTTCGCTCGAGCGGGATATTGGACGCTTGAGTGAAGACTTGTGTCACACACTCGAGTGGGAAAGTTTACGTTTGAGCGGGAAAGTTTACGTTCGAGCGGAGTCTTTTGTTTGCATGTCCGCTCGAGCGGGGAATCCCACGCTCGAGCGAGATCCCTATTTTCTGAAAACTCTGAAAATATTTTCTAAGTACATCTTTGCATTCTCATTCCATTCTAGGCATTCTTAAGCCTAGTTTAAGGCATCTTAATGAGGATATTGATGTAGAACCACACCGAGTCAAGATAGGGATTAAGTTATTATTTTCCCAACTATGTAGCTTAGTGTGTGTTCATTCTGCAACTGTGTAGGATTGGCTTTCGGAGACGCGCTCTAGCTTATTTGTAGCTGAGAGGGAGATTTATGATCTGGATTGGGCCGTGGAATTGAGCCGGACAGATTTGGGCCGGACAGAGTTGTGCCGGACAGATTTGGGCCGGACAGAGTTGTGCCAGACAGATTTGGGCCGAACAGGTGTTGGGCCAAGTTGTGTGGCCCAGCCTTGAAGGAAGCTGCTCGGTTAAGGCAGCGCGTGGATTGACTGAGCTGCAAGGATCCGCGGTTACGAAGCCGGTCAGGTGAAAGGTCCAGCGCTAGGAAAGGCAAGGTTGGACCGAGGTACCTTTTTGCTCGGCAGGAAGGTCGACCGCAGACAAGCGTGAGTTGTTCCGAGCTCGGCTTTGCCGAGATGCCGCCGAGTCCGGTCCTCATCTGAGCTTAGCTGTTGGAGTACTTGGGCTTGAAGCGCAGCATGGCAGACGATGGCCGAGATGGTACTGCCCGGCTGCCGAGCTCCTAGGAGAATGGGCAGGCAGTTAGGTTAGGTGGTGCTCAGCAAGGTTTATGCTGACAGATGGGATAGTAGTGCCACGTGTTGAGAGGACACTGGGAGTAGATTTGGGGCGCAGAAGGTATATAAACACGTCTGCGCCCCCCATACGCAGACACACGAACACTCTGTAAGAAAATTCTTACACTCAAACACTCTCCCTTCTCTCTATCTATCCCCTGTGTGTGTTCTAACTTGATCGTCGGAGGGGTTTTCCGGCCACACACCGCCGGGTAGCTCACCGCTATTGTGCTCGCAGGTGATCGGACAGAAACGGAGCTTGGAAGAAAGGAGTACGGGCTTGCCGGAATATTTGCTCCCCGTACAGTAGCCCATAACTCTGTGAGTAACAATGTTGTAAAGATATGTTCGAAAATGAATATTTTCTAAATGATTAACTGAACTGTTTACTGTTAACTAAATGAATGTTTGTCCTCTATTCTGAACTGTATTGTGGCATCCTTAGCAACTACTATTACTGTTACTGCTACTGTTACAGAGATTTTTGTCAGTTCCAATTTTGGAACTTCTGTTTACTGTTATGATGGCCATCATTGACTGTTCGGTCTTTCAAGACCTACTGTTTACTGTACTGTTCTGCTAATGGATGTATCACATATGACTGTTATGACTGAATAGCTGATACACTGAATCAATTGACTGTTTTCAATATTAAAGGGACATTCATTCTTAACCTTTTTACGCATTATGTTATTCACTGGGCTTTAGCTCACTGTTCATATATATATGTAGGTGTACAGGCACCGGACCGTTGCTAGAAGCGTCAGGGTAAACTCTAGTTTTGTCAAGCCAACCACTGTGCCTCACTGCGAGGTTCCGAGCCTGTCAAGCCAGGACTTTTGGAGTGTTTTAGTTCCCCATTTTTGTATCTGTTATATAACTACTGTTTAGACTGAATGATGTTGCACTGTACTGTTAACAAGGATCTTGAATAATTGTATATATTGTACATACTGTCTTGGTACTGATTGTATATGTGCACATGAATGATAAGTCTTTTTGCATACAAACTGTCACAGCTCATTGGACATTGTCTATTTACTGTTTTGGCTTCTGCCATGCCCCTGTACTCTGTATTATTTTTGACTGTTAAGCAGACCTTCGGTAATAACGAATTACTGGCCGGTTATGGTGCTAAACCCATAGGGGCGGGTTTGGGTCGTGACAATTGTACATACACCACTTAACCCTCCCCTTGCTTCCATATTTGTAGACTCATTGTAGACCTATGTGAAAACCATTCAAAACCACAATATAAAGTAAAGTGAAGTAAAGTGAAGTGAAGTGAAGACAAAGTTCCCTATTGAAGACTCTATTGAACCTCCATTAAAAATCCTCAAAAATATTGTTAAAGATATGACATATCTTTATTTTGTTATTACATTTACCATTTCCAGATTTTTGTGCATTCCATTGCTATAAAACCCTCGTTTTTTTTAAAAACTTTTTTTTTAATGTTTTCGATTTGACGGTTTCGGCACTAATTTTTCAAAATTATATATTTAATTCGAAATTTAACTTCCGAATAAAAGTGATTAGTTTGACAAATTTGTTTCGAAAAAAAAAAAAAAACTTTCGGCAGTTGATGTCCGAATATAATGAAATAATATGGTACTGGTTGTTCAACTGAAAACTGCAAAAGGAAATAAAAAAAAAAATTCTGTACGAAAAAACTAACATTTTCATCACTAATAAAGTATAAATTTAGAGATTAAAGTAGCATGAGAGTTGTTGTGAAAGTATTATTTTCAAGAAATAGAGAAGTATAGAATGTGTAGCAAATAAAGTAACAACAATAAAAAAAAAAAATATTAAGGTTTAGTTTTTTTTACTTAAAAATTGGACATTGAGAATTTTTTTTTTCAAAGATATGTATGGAGAATATTTTCATATAATATTATAAGTGCTAGTGAATGTCCATTATAATTATTTTAATTTAAGATATAATTGTTTTTAAAATAATATTTGGTTAAGTACGTGCACCAAGCTAATTAGGGTTCGTTTGGGATGTGAGTTGTTTTTCTGACTTTTTGTGTATTTTAGCCTAGGGCTAAAAGTCTCGTTTGGAATAGACTTTTTGATTTTTTTGTGATTTGTGTAAAAAAAAATGAGATAATTATGATTTAAATATGGTATTTTATCTTATTAAATTAAAAAAAATTATTTTATTTGTTTTATGATTATTTTAATCAAAAAATAAAAAAAATAAAAATAAAATCCCATTTAGCTTAGGCCAAACGAGGGCTTATTAGAGTATGGAAATACCTCGAACTCGAACGCCACATTATTTAAATATGATATTTTATCTTATTAAATTAAAAAAATTTATTTTATTTATTTTATGATTATTTTAATCAAAAAATAAAAAAAATAAAAATAAAATCCCATTTAGCTTAGGCCAAACGAGGGCTTAAGAAAATGAGTGAGAATATTAATTAGTGCTACCACTAATGATGTGGCAGTAGATCCCACTATGAATGATTTGATGTTTTGGCCTTGGTGTTGTATTTTTTTTTCTTTTTTTATTGAGTGCCATGTCATTAGTGATCTTTTTAGAATTCCAAAATTAATAGTCTCTATCATTGTTGCGAGGGCTTATTAGAGTATGGAAATACCTCGAACTCGAACGTCACATTCTCTGGGCTGTTTTGAGAAGTTGATAAAAAGTTACTTTTTAGCTTTTTACCAAATTTTTTGACTTTTTTAGAAGTGATTTGAAAAGTTAATAAAAAGTTGACTTTTTTTAATTTTGATTTAATATTTTTTTAAAAGTATCATGTCATTTCAAAATAACTAAAATATCTTTATTTTTTAATTTTCAGTTAATAAATTAAAATTTTTCAGAGGGTAGTTCAGTAAATTTGGGTGTTGCGTTTTTGGTCTTCCCAAATAGGAATTTCAGCGTCTTGACTGTTTGGCGTTTTGGTCTTGGCCAACAAAAAGCTGCGTCTTGACTGTGTTGCTAAAACGGCACTCTCTCATAAGTCCCTTCACTTCTCACTGTCCAAAACTCTCTCTCTCTCTCTCTTCACCGATCATCAACAACTGCTCTTTCGTCTTCGTCTTCGTCTTCGTCGTACTCAGGTATTCGATATTTCGTTCTCATCGATCCAATACTAATTATTTTTGATTGTGTGTATAAATTGATTGTATATTTGATTTTTATTATTTTTGTGTTTTTGTTAAATTCTCCTATTGTTTCTGTGATCTACAATGGCTTATTAGTCTCTTCTGTTGCGTTGCATCGAGTAGTTGTTACTGTTCGTGGTGTATTTGTATTTTTATGTCCAATTAATTCAATGTTTTGTGTGTTTAGTGTGATAAAATTGTGTTTTTTTAATCATTATCAGGCTTATTGTGCAACTGAAACTTGATCACTTGGGTTTAAATTAATTTTTAATCCGTAGAATTGTTGTCCTACTAATTCAATGTTTTGTGTGTTTAGTGTAATAAAGTTTTTTTTTTTTTTTTTAAAATTTTTTTTTTTTAAAAAAATTATTTTAAACTATCATTCTTCGGCTGACCATGCAACCGAAACTACATCACTTGTATGTGAATTAGTTTTTAATTCATAGAATTGCTGTTCTTAAGATGTTTTGCTTTGATTTTTACAATCCGAGCCTGGATTGTGTGTCAAAGAGCGGGTTTTGATGTTTCCGGTACTTTTACAAAACAATTGGGCTTAACTAGAAAACAAAGTACTTGGCTTTTAATGAGAATGGTGGCATGCGTCTTAGTTTTTCAGGTTGATATGCCCATTTAATTCATTGTTTTGTGTTTAGTGTAAATAAAGTTTTTGTTTAATGATTCTTAGGCTTACCCTGCAATAATAAATTTTTAATGCATAGAATTGCTTTTCTTAAGATGTTTTGCTTTGATTTTTACGATCTGAGGCTGTATTGTGTGTGAAGGAGCATTTTTGGTACTTTTATGAACAATTGATTTCAACTAGAAAGCAAAGTACTTAGCATGTAATGAGAATGGTATGTGCATTGGGGCTGATATGGCCAATCAATTCATTGTATAGAGTTTGTGTGTTAGTGTAATAAAGTTGTTTTTATTAATCATTCTTAGGCTTACCATGCAATGGAAACTAGACCATTTGTATGTAAGTTAATTTTTAATGCATAGAATTGATATTCTGAAGATGTTTGGCTCTGATTTTTACAATGTGAGCAAAGATTATGTGTGAAGGAGTGGGTTTTGATGTTTTTGGTACTTTTACGTAATAATCAGAACAAAGTTCTTAGCTTTTAATAAGAATGGTGGTTTAGTTTATTAAATTATGAAAAGAGAATTTAAAGTCAACAGAAAATAACAAATTGAACCGATGGTTTGGTTTATTCAATTGGGTGTTGGCGAACGGATGAGTTATTAGTTAAATGCTTATATAGAGTTCTTTTGTAGTTTCAACACATTTTGTGATGTTATCTGCTGTGTGTTGGAACTACAAAAGCCTGATCTGCTGGCATTGTGTATCTAGTGACATGATTAAAAGTTATACAATGGGAACGGGTCTAGTTATGATTACAGTTTTTGGGTATAATGATGGTTGCGGTCCTTGTGGAGTTGTTCATCTTTTGCTTTTGATTGATTGTTGAACTCTTTGCAGTCATGGCAGGTCTAGCACCAGAAGGATCACAATTTGATGGTCGTCAGTATGATACCAAAATGAATGAGTTGTAAGCACTTTTTTTTTAATATTATTTTTCTTGCTCTTCAGCTATTTGTTGGTTGACTGTTGGTTGCATGCGTGAGGTTTAATTTGTTTATAATCATTGTATTTGTTTTCTAGACATCAACTTAAAAGTCTCATATGGGTTTCTATTGGCAATGCTAATCATCTCTCTTGGTTTGTGATACAGACTTTCAGCTGATGGGCAAGATTTCTTTACATCATATGATGAGGTTTATGATAGTTTTGACTCTATGGGTTTGCAAGAGAACCTTCTGCGGGGCATTTATGCATGCGGTAGACATAATTATGTTTCCTTTATTTATTTATTTATTTTTTATAGGCTTCACATAGGATGTGGCTTTGCTTAAAAGTTTTGGTTTCCTTGTCCATTTGATGGCTCCCCAATTTTCAAGCTGCTTTTTTCAATTTCCAATTTTAATGTTCAATTGGACTAATAGCTGATTTATTGGTAGAGGTTGCTTCTTGCTTCTACATGTTTTAATTGTACTTCGAATGGTTAGGGAATCATGAAATATTGTACGATGATGCATTAAGAAGTGTTGCCGTTTCTGCTTTGCCTCATATGGCTGATGCTATTTTGACAATTGGATGTTTCCTATGTAGGTTTTGAAAAACCCTCAGCAATTCAGCAAAGGGGAATTGTTCCCTTCATCAAAGGTTTGGATGTAATTCAACAGGCTCAGTCTGGAACCGGAAAGACAGCAACTTTTTGCTCCGGTATCCTTCAACAGCTTGACTATGGTTTAGTTGAATGCCAGGCCTTGGTTTTGGCACCTACTCGTGTGCTTGCTCAACAGATTGAGAAGGTTATGCAAGCACTTGGAGAATTTCTTGGCGTGAAGGTACATGCTTGTGTGGGTGGAACCAGTGTTCGTGAAGACAAGCGCATTCTATTGAGTGGGGTTCATGTTGTTGTTGGCACTGTTGGGCGTGTGTTTGATATGCTGAAGAGACAGTCACTTCGTCCTGATTACATTAAGATGTTTGTACTAGACGACGCAGATGAATTGCTTTCTCGTGGTTTCAAGGATCAGGTCCTTCTTTAACCCTATATTAGTGCCTTTTGCATTTCTTTTGTAGATTAAGTACTTGAACTTCAATTTTTTGTAGTGTGATGTTGTCCTATACAAATGTGTGTAGAAACAAGTGCTTATTATATACCTGCAGGAGGATTTGTTTGGTTCAATTAAATGGTTAACTGGGCCAGGAAGATGGTTGAACAGATAGCGGGTTTAGTAAAGTAGGGAAGAGGGGTTGATGCAGGAACATAATAGGGCAAGTATATTTGGCAACTATATGGGTGACACGCGGCATTTTATCTATATTTCCAAATGTCTTATTAATTTCTAGTCAAAGTTTTATTTGCCATTGATATTAGATATAGCCTATTATTATATAGTATTGTTTGTGTATGTTGTTAATCATGTACTAGTCATGTAAAGGGTTAAATGTGCATTCAAAGTATTGGTCTAAAAGTAGTAGACAAATAAAAAAAAGGGGTCTCAGTGCATGAGGCTCTCGCTAATGTGGGTCTGGGAGGTCAAGATATACGTAGTCTTATCCCATTTTCGGGAGGGCAATAAATATTGTCTACAATTATGTGATGGAAAAACCTATATAAGGAGTCTTGTATTTGCATTTAAAAACACGAGTATGTTTTTGAATATAATCAGCCTTTGGCTTATTGAAAAGAAGATTTTCTTCTTACAACTCTTACCCTTTTGGTGGATTCCAATTGGTATCAAGTTCTTGGTCTGTATCTATTCGGTGTGTTGGTGATCTGGATTTACATAGAGTTGTGTTTTCATTTCTGCTATGTTTATCATCCAACATTTACGAGCATCATCTTTTCAGTGGGTGAAATTAGAACTATTCTGTTTGTTTGAGGTTTTTTTTCTTCAATAATTTCGAACTCCTAAATTCTTGCATTTTTGTGGTGGAAGATCTAGGAATTTAGGAAGATTGTTATTTTCTTCAATCTAATCAACATTTAAATTCCTAATTTATTTTTAATCAATGATTTATTTATTGATATACTAATGGTGAATTCATTTCTGCCAGATCTATGATATATTCCATCCCCTCCCTTCAAAAGTTCAGGTTGGTTTATCCTCAGTTACAATGCCTCCCAAAGGCCTTGAGATCACAAGGAAGTTTATGAACAAACCAGTCAGGATTCTCGTGAAACGCGATGAGCTCACCCTAGAGGGTATAATTTAAATATGATATTTTATCTTATTAAATTAAAAAAAAAATATTTTATTTATTTTATGACTATTTTAGTCAAAAATAATAATAATAATAATAAAATATCCCATTTAGCTTAGGCCAAACGAGGGCTTATTAGAGTATGGAAACACCTCGAACTCGAACGCCACATTCTCTGTGAGGTTTAATTTGTTTATAATCATTGTATTTGTTTTCTAGACATCAACTTAAAAGTCTCATATGGGTTTCTATTCGCAATGCTAATCATCTCTCTTGGTTTATGATATAGGCTTTCAGCTAATGGGCAAGATTTCTTTACATCATATGATGAGGTTTATGATAGTTTTGACTCTATGGGTTTGCAAGAGAACCTTCTGCAGGGCATTTATGCATGCGGTAGACATAATTATGTTTCCTTTATTTATTTATTTTTTTTAGGCTTCACATAGGATGTGGCTTTGCTTAAAAGTTTTGGTTGATGGCTCCCCAATTTTCAAGCTGCTTTTTTCAATTTCCAATTTTAATGTTCAATTGGACTAATAGCTGATTTATTGGTAGAGGTTGCTTCTTGCTTCTACATGTTTTAATTGTACTTCGAATGGTTAGGGAATCATGAAATATTGTACGGTGATGCATTAAGAAGTGTTGCCTTTTCTGCTTTGCCTCATATGGCTGATGCTATTTTGACAATTGGATGTTTCCTATGTAGGTTTTGAAAAACCCTCAGCAATTCAGCAAAGGGGAATTGTTCCCTTCATCAAAGGTTTGGATGTAATTCAACAGGCTCAGTCTGGAACTGGAAAGACAGCAACTTTTTGCTCCGGTATCCTTCAACAGCTTGACTATGGTTTAGTTGAATGCCAGGCCTTGGTTTTGGCACCTACTTGTGTGCTTGCTCAACAGATTGAGAAGGTTATGCGAGCACTTGGAGAGTTTCTTGGCGTGAAGGTACATGCTTGTGTGGGTGGAACCAGTGTTCGTGAAGACAAGCGCATTCTATTGGGTGGGGTTCATGTTGTTGTTGGCACTGTTGGGCGTGTGTTTGATATGCTGAAGAGACAGTCACTTCGTCCTGATTACATTAAGATGTTTGTACTAGACGACGCAGATGAATTGCTTTCTCGTGGTTTCAAGGATCAGGTCCTTCTTTAACCCTATATTAGTGCCTTTTGCATTTCTATTGTAGATTAAGTGCTTGAACTTCAATTTTTTGTAGTGTGATGTTGTCCTATACAAATGTGTGTAGAAACAAGTGCTTATTATATACCTGCAGGAGGATTTGTTTGGTTCAATTAAAAGGTGAACTGGGCCAGGAAGATGGTTGAACAGATAGTGGGTTTAGTAAAGTAGGGAAGAGGGGTTGTTGCCGCAACATAATGGGGCAAGTATATTTGGCAACTATATGGGTGACACGCGGCATTTTATCTATATTTCCAAATGTCTTATTAATTTCTAGTCAAAGTTTTATTTGCCATTGATATTAGATATAGCCTATTATTATATAGTATTGTTGGTGTATGTTGTTAATCATGTACAGTCCTGTAAAGGGTTAAATGTGCATTCAAAGTATTGGTCTAAAAGTAGTAGACAAATAAAAAAATGGTGACTCAGTGCATGAGGCTCCCGCTAATGTGGGTCTGGGAGGTCAAGATATACGTAGTCTTATCCCATTTTCGGGAGGGCAATAAATATTGTCTACAATTATGTGATGGAAAAACCTATATAAGGAGTCCTGTATTTGCATTTAAAAACATGAGTATGTTTTTGAATATGTAAAAATATATGTATAAAGAGAAAACTACAGAGAATAAATGTATCTGATGATCTTATTATTGATTAATATTGATTGATTTTCTGTCTATTACAAATGGTTCCTTATATAGATGTAGGTGTAGTGGATGGTGGTAGTGGTGTAGTGGGTTAGGTTTAGTGGAGTAGGTGAGGTGGTAGTGGTGTAGTGGATTAGGTTTAGTGGAGTAGGTGAGGTGGTAGTGGTGGTAGGTGATGGTAAATTCTAACAGAATATAATCAGCCTTTGGCTTATTGAAAATAAGATTTTCTTCTTACAACTCTTACCCTTTTGGTGGATTCCAATTGGTATCAAGTTCTTGGTCTGTATCTATTCGGTGTGTTGATGATCTGGATTTACATAGAGTTGTGTTTTCATTTCTGCTATGTTTATCATCCAACGTTTACGAGCATCATCGTTTCAGTGGGTGAAATTAGAACTATTCTGTTTGTTTGAGGTTTTTTATCTTCAATAATTTCAAACTCCTAAATTCTTGCATTTTTGTCGTGGAAGATCTAGGAATTTAGGAAGATTGTTATTTTCTTCAATCTAATCAACATTTAAATTTCTAATTTATTTTTAATCAATGATTTATTTATTGATATACTAATGGTGAATTCATTTCTGCCAGATCTATGATATATTCCAGCTCCTCCCTTCAAAAGTTCAGGTTGGTTTATCCTCAGTTACAATGCCTCCCAAAGGCCTTGAGATCACAAGGAAGTTTATGAACAAACCAGTCAGGATTCTCGTGAAACGCGATGAGCTCACCCTAGAGGGTATAATTTAAATATGATATTTTATGTTATTAAATTAAAAAAATTTATTTTATTTATTTTATGACTATTTTAGTCAAAAATAATAATAATAATAATAAAATATCCCATTTAGCTTAGGCCAAACGAGGGCTTATTAGAGTATGGAAACACCTCGAACTCGAACGCCACATTCTCTCTCATCAGTCCCTTCACTTCTCACTCTCCAAAACTCTCTCTCTCTCTCTGTCTCTTCACCGATCATCAACAACTGCTCTTTCTTCTTCTTCTTCTTCGTCGTACTCAGGTATTCTCTATTTCGTTCTCATCGATCCAATACTAATTATTTTGGATTGTGTGTATAAATTGATTGTATATTTGATTTTTATTATTTTTGTGTTTTTGTTAAATTTTCCTATTGTTTCTGTGATCTACAATGGCTTATTAGTCTCTTCTGTTGCGTTGCATCGAGTAGTTGTTACTATTCGTGGTGTATTTGTATTTTTATGTCTAATTAATTCAATGTTTTGTGTGTTTAGTGTGATAAAGTTGTGCTTTTTTAATCATTATTAGGCTTATTGTGCAACTGAAACTTGATCACTTGGGTTTAAATTAATTTTTAATGCGTAGAATTGTCGTCCTACTAATTCAATGTTTTGTGTGTTTAGTGTAATAAAGTTGTTTTTTTTTTATAATTTTTTTTAAAAAAATTATTTTAAACTATCATTCTTAGGCTTACCATGCAACCGAAACTACATCACTTGTATGTGAATTAGTTTTTAATTCATTGAATTGCTGTTCTTAAGAGTTTTGCTTTGATTTTTACAATCTGAGCCTGGATTGTGTGTCAAGGAGCGGGTTTTGATGTTTCCGGTACTTTTACAAAACAATTGAGCTTAACTAGAAAACAAAGTACTTGGCTTTTAATGAGAATGGTGGCATGCATCTTAGTTTTTCAGGTTGATATGCCCATTTAATTCATTGTTTTGTGTGTTTAGTGTAAATAAAGTTTTTGTTTAATGATTCTTAGGCTTACCATGCAATAATAATTTTTTAATGCATAGAATTGCTTTTCTTAAGATGCTTTGCTTTGATTTTTACGATCTGAGGCTGTATTGTGTGTGAAGGAGCATTTTTGGTACTTTTATAAACAATTGATTTCAACTAGAAAGCAAAGTGCATAGCATGTAATGAGAATGGTATGTGCATTGGGGCTGATATGGCCAATCAATTCATTGTATGGAGTTTGTGTGTTAGTGTAATAAAATTGTTTTTATTAATCATTCTTAGGCTTACCATGCAATGGAAACTAGACCATTTGTATGTAAGTTAATTTTTAATGCATAGAATTGATATTCTGAAGATATTTGGCTCTGATTTTTACAATGTGAGCAAAGATTATGTGTGCAGGAGTGGGTTTTGATGTTTTTGGTACTTTTACGTAATAATCAGAACAAAGTTCTTAGCTTTTAATAAGAATGGTGGTTTAGTTTATTAAATTATGAAAAGAGAATTTAAAGTCAACAGAAAATAACAAATTGAACTGATGGTTTGGTTTATTCAATTGGGTGTTGGCGAACGGATGAGTTATTAGTTAAATGCTTATATAGAGTTCTTTTGTAGTTTCAACACATTTTGTGATGTTATCTGCTGTGTGTTGGAACTACAAAAGCCTGATCTGCTGGCATTGTGTATCTAGTGACATGATTAAAAGTTATACAATGGGAACGGGTCTAGTTATGATTACAGTTTTTGGGTATAATGATGGTTGCGGTCCTTGTGGAGTTGTTCATCTTTTGCTTTTGATTGATTGTTGAACTCTTTGCAGTCATGGCAGGTCTAGCACCAGAAGGATCACAATTTGATGGTCGTCAGTATGATACCAAAATGAATGAGTTGTAAGCACTTTTTTTTTAATATTATTTTTCTTGCTCTTCAGCTATTTGTTGGTTGACTGTTGGTTGCATGTGTGAGGTTTAATTTGTTTATAATCATTGTATTTGTTTTCTAGACATCAACTTAAAAGTCTCATATGGGTTTCTATTGGCAATGCTAATCATCTCTCTTGGTTTGTGATACAGACTTTCAGCTGATGGGCAAGATTTCTTTACATCATATGATGAGGTTTATGATAGTTTTGACTCTATGGGTTTGCAAGAGAACCTTCTGCGGGGCATTTATGCATGCGGTAGACATAATTATGTTTCCTTTATTTATTTATTTATTTTTTATAGGCTTCACATAGGATGTGGCTTTGCTTAAAAGTTTTGGTTTCCTTGTCCATTTGATGGCTCCCCAATTTTCAAGCTGCTTTTTTCAATTTCCAATTTTAATGTTCAATTGGACTAATAGCTGATTTATTGGTAGAGGTTGCTTCTTGCTTCTACATGTTTTAATTGTGCTTCGAATGGTTAGGGAATCATGAAATATTGTACGGTGATGCATTAAGAAGTGTTGCATTTTCTGCTTTGCCTCATATGGCTGATGCTATTTTGACAATTGGATGTTTCCTATGTAGGTTTTGAAAAACCCTCAGCAATTCAGCAAAGGGGAATTGTTCCCTTCATCAAAGGTTTGGATGTAATTCAACAGGCTCAGTCTGGAACTGGAAAGACAGCAACTTTTTGCTCCGGTATCCTTCAACAGCTTGACTATGGTTTAGTTGAATGCCAGGCCTTGGTTTTGGCACCTACTTGTGTGCTTGCTCAACAGATTGAGAAGGTTATGCGAGCACTTGGAGAGTTTCTTGGCGTGAAGGTACATGCTTGTGTGGGTGGAACCAGTGTTCGTGAAGACAAGCGCATTCTATTGAGTGGGGTTCATGTTGTTGTTGGCACTGTTGGGCGTGTGTTTGATATGCTGAAGAGACAGTCACTTCGTCCTGATTACATTAAGATGTTTGTACTAGACGACGCAGATGAATTGCTTTCTTGTGGTTTCAAGGATCAGGTCCTTCTTTAACCCTATATTAGTGCCTTTTGCATTTCTTTTGTAGATTAAGTACTTGAACTTCAATTTTTTGTAGTGTGATGTTGTCCTATACAAATGTGTGTAGAAACAAGTGCTTATTATATACCTGCAGGAGGATTTGTTTGGTTCAATTAAAAGGTGAACTGGGCCAGGAAGATGGTTGAACAGATAGTGGGTTTAGTAAAGTAGGGAAGAGGGGTTGATGCAGGAACATAATGGGCCAAGTATATTTGGCAACTATATGGGTGACATGCGGCATTTTATCTATATTTCCAAATGTCTTATTAATTTCTAGTCAAAGTTTTATTTGCCATTGATATTAGATATAGCCTATTATTATATAGTATTGTTTGTGTATGTTGTTAATCATGTACTAGTCCTGTAAAGGGTTAAATGTGCATTCAAAGCATTGGTCTAAAAGTAGTAGACAAATAAAAAAATGGTGACTCAGTGCATGAGGCTCCCGCTAATGTGGGTCTGGGAGGTCAAGATATACGTAGTCTTATCCCATTTTCGGGAGGGCAATAAATATTGTCTACAATTATGTGATGGAAAAACCTATATAAGGAGTCCTGTATTTGCATTTAAAAATACGAGTATGTTTTTGAATATAATCAGCCTTTGGTTTATTGAAAAGAACATTTTCTTCTTACAACTCTTACCCTTTTGGTTGATTCCAATTGGTATCAAGTTCTTGGTCTGTATCTATTCGGTGTGTTGGTGATCTGGATTTACATAGAATTGTGTTTTTATTTCTGCTATGTTTATCATCCAATGTTTACGAGCATCATGGTTTCAGTGGGTGAAATTAGAACTATTCTGTTTGTTTGAGGTTTTTTTTCTTCAATAATTTCAAACACCTAAATTCTTGCATTTTTGTCTTGGAAGATCTAGGAATTTAGGAAGATTGTTATTTTCTTCAATCTAATCAACATTTAAATTCCTAATTTATTTTTAATCAATGATTTATTTATTGATATACTAATGGTGAATTCATTTCTGCCAGATCTATGATATATTCCAGCTCCTCCCTTCAAAAGTTCAGGTTGGTTTATTCTCAGTTACAATGCCTCCCAAAGCCCTTGAGATCACAAGGAAGTTTATGAACAAACCAGTCAGGATTCTCGTGAAATGCGATGAGCTCACCCTAGAAGGTATAAAGCAGTTTTATGTCAACGTTGACGAGGAAGAACGGAAATTCGAGGCACTCTGTAATCTCTGTGAAACCATGGCCATCACCCAGAGCATCATCTTTGTCAACAAATGTCGCAAGGTTGACTGGCTAATCAACAAGATGCGGAGCCGAGACCACACAGTTTTCGGCACCCATGGAGCCATGGACCAGAATACGAGAGACATTGTAATGCGTGAATTCTGTTCCGGTTCCTCTCGTGTCCTCATAACCACTGATATCTTGGCCCGAGGCATTGATGTGCAGCAAGTCTCTCTTGTTGTAAACTATGATCTCCCTACTCAGCCCGATAACTACCTCCACCGTATCGGACGTAGTGGACGGTTTGGGAGGAAGGGTGTTGCCATCAACTTCCTAACGAGTGATGACAGTAGGATGCTGGCTGACATTCAGAGGCTTTATAATGTGGTTGTTGAGGAGCTGCCGGCAAACGTTGCTGATCTCCTCTAAACAAGGTTTTGTCTTTGCTTTTGTCTTTGCTTTTGTCAGTGGAAAGATAAGTGGATTTTCATTTACCGAGTACTATTTATTATGCTTTTTCCTCTTCTTGTTTAATAGGTCTACTGTCTAAATTGGCAATGGCTTTTTCTTCATCCATCACAATTTTTTGGCAACTATATGGTCTAAAATGTCTTTTTATTGCTATGATAATTTTTGTGTTTGTTTGTTGTTGTGCTTTCAACATGTTGTAGGTGATTGAGAAGCATGAAGGCGTATTCGTGTTAGTGTCAGTGTCAGGTCCAACACCCCTTACTGACACGACATCATACACTTTTTTTGTTTTGTTTTGAGGAAAGCATAAAATGCATCAATATATTAATGGAGAAGGCAAGGAACAACACAGTGAAAACATTAACACAATGCAACATCACAAGGGATTAAAAATTGCATAACCTAGGTACTATCACCATGAATAGTAAAGAAAGCTTCAGTCAGCAACATCTACGAGCATCTGCACAATGGTTAGCAAAAAAAAAAACAAAAAAATATACCATATCTCGCAAATCAAATGACCAATGAGGAGCACCGCCTTAAGGGAACTCGAAAAAGACTTGGGTCTTCCCGATTATTCTCTATGCAATGCTTTTTTTTTCGCTTAATGTGATCATTGCTTTGAGAGGATTGAATAACTTCCATTGCACTGGCATTGTTGATATTGATGTTGGGTTGAGGTGCCTGAATTTACTTAGACGCACTACCTTGATGTGATATTACCCTCTTTACAAAACGCTTGGACAACTCTTGAACTTGTGCGCAAGAAAAGGGGAAAATCTGATCTAGCCTTGGGACATCCACTTGATCTTGAAAAGTGTTTTCACCACAACCGACCTCTAGGTTCAAGGACAACCTCGCATGGGTTATTAGATTAAGTGTTTTAGAATGCACTGCTGCTTCCCAATCAAATTCAAAATCATCAGAGAATGTATCCTTGATGAGTGCCACTTCTAGGGGATCCATGTAAGAAAATATATCAAAGTGTGACACACATTTTACCTTATTTTGAGACAAACTAGATTCTTGAAGTATAGCAATACTTTTACCCTTTTCTGGCTTGGTTAAATGTCAGTTTGTCGACTTAGAGCTAAGGAGAAAAGAAATCTTCAACATTCTTAAACAACCAAAGTAGAGTTGCTAAATCAAAATACAAATTAAGCAAACCGAACCCAAAACAAAGCTATAGTTGTTTGATAAAAACAACGAAATAGCTACTTGCTAGTTCTAGGATCCCAAATAATGCACTGCTCAAGGTTGGGTTTTATGAAGAAAACTCAAGCCAAAAGCACATCTATGTTCGGGTCTGAGCATGCCACAACAGAACTAAACATATCAGAATCAGGGCCGGCCTGAGTTTCCGGAGCCTAAGGCAAAATAATTTTTCGGGCCTTTGTAGATATTTATAAAAAATAAAAAAAAAAATAAAAATCATTCTGTTTGGTTTAGAGTTTTTAAAAATAATTGTCTGAGTTTGCAATTCATATTTTTCTATATTTTCGTATTTGGTAACATTTTAAAAAAAATATAAATATTATAGTTTTTAAGCATATCTAAATTAGATGTATCTACAAAATAAATAAATAAAAATTGTGTAAAATATTTTTTTAAAAAAATATTAAAAAACATATAATTGGGCCATAAAGAGAAAAAGAAAAGAAAAGAAAATGCCACACAAAATTAGGCTAACGACGAATACATATATATATATATATATTTTATTTTTTATTTTTTTAATTGGACTAACAACTAAAACTTATAAATATTTTTTAATTGAGCCTTTTATCAATTTGGTCAAATAGATTTTTTGAAGCCCCCTTTAAAATGGCCTAATTTAATTAAATAGAATTGAGCCATTTTAAGTTTTTTAATATAGTGTAGGACTAAATTTGAGAGCCTTTTTTTTAGCCTAATTTTTGGGGTCCTAGGCACAGGCCTCACCAGCCTTAGCCCAGGGCCGGCCCTGATCAGAATGCCGAAATTCAGTGATATCTGGATGGGTTTCTAAAGCCCGTACCAGCTTTCAATCGATGTGCGTTGGGTTGCTTCTTGTCACACAATGTGTCCAGCAAAAGGTTCTGCAAGAGGTTAATGAAAAAGAGGGGTTTTTTTTTTTTTTGGTAAATAATTCAATATAAAATAATTCAAATATCAGATGTGTTTTTTTTTTTTAGATTTATAAATGTGTCATATTATTTTTTAAATTATTTTAGAGGTGGATACATTTAGTACAATTATTTGACAGATGTATTAATCTCATAGGCAAACATCAAATTGATTATAAGTTTAAATAAAATAAGTTAAGATGCAATAGTAAAAAAAATTAATGTAAATTTATATGAATTAGTAATGTTATGTTGTATTTTTAGAAAATAATCTTTCAGTGGTGATATATACATAATATAGAGAAATTCTATGGTACACACTCCTCAAAAAGTGTGTTATATGCATCCTGTTACGTATTTTTGTGGTGTTTGTTACGTATTTTTGTGACAAATATTACATATTTTTCTTGGATCACAATTTATGATTTACAAATGAAGTTAGATATTTTGTGGTAATGTTATACATTTTTGTTGTAATGTTACAAATTTTTTTATCTAAACATTTTTTAACAAAAAAATAATTAACATTATCACAAAAATACGAATATTGATTTACTTTATAATTGAACAAATTTGATTTGGAAACAAGATAAAATATATATTTTGATATAAAAAAATAATTATATTAATTTTTTATTCATATAATTAATGAATTATTGATGAAAATTATTTAAAATTTATATGAATTAAAATCTTAAGAAAATTTAATATAATTATATCAAATTTATAGAACTCAATATAATTTTGATATTTGTACCCAAAAACAAATACTAAAAAACAATTTTAAGAATCATGTTGAATAAAAAGCATTTGGATCATCTCCATGTAGTATATTGATTATTTGGTGTTTAAAAGATAGGAAATTGACCTATTTAGTGTGTGTTGTAATTTTTCATTAGTCAGGAGTATCGCTTAGATAACGTCATAGGATTTTAAAAAATATTTGTTAATTTTAAGTTGAAAAGTAATACTATATTGTAATTATGTTCATTGTATATTTATAATGGAAAAGTTTCATTACATCATATAATGATAAATATAATAATCTTTTTTAATTTAAACTAATTATAAATTTATAATTATATTTTATAACCATTAGATATATAGTGAAAGAAAAATGCTTGGTGGTCCGAATTTGTATGGCTCGAATGACTCGAATATATTAAAACGACGTTGACGTCATTTTACACCTAAAATAACGTCGTTTTAACACATTCGAACCATAAAATTTCAGGCCACCTAGCATTATTGTATTTTTTTCCTTTTGGTCTTTAAAGTATTTTTCATCTTGTTTTAGTTGTTAATGTTTGTAATTTTTCTCAATTTACTCTGAAGATCAATTTCTGTCAAATTTTAAAACCCAAAACCCAAATTCTAACTCTCCTATTTTTTCGTCGAATTCATCCTTAAACTTCCACCACTTATTCACCGTCCATCTCTACTCCTACCTGTACTGTCTCTTTTCTCTTTCTCCTTCCTTCATCGTCCTAACCCTGTACTATAATCATTGTTCATATCCAAACACCTATTTTTTTGGTAAGTACTTTCATAATATGTTTTTTGAAAAAATTTCAAAAACTGGGTTTGTGGAAAAAATTTAAAAAAATAAAAATAAAAACACTAATTATTTTCATATGATTCTCTTGTTTCTAATTATTCATAAATCATCTTTTTAATTTTTTTTTCTAAAACTCAACTAAACACGAACGATTTTGGGTCTTAAATTTTTAATATAATTTATTTTTATCCAACATGTCTACCAATGTGGCATTTTTTTATCCAAAATTGGATGATACTTTGTTTTTAAATTGTGAAAAATTACAAACATTAAGAGCCAAAATGGGGAAAATATATATTTTAAGGGCTAAAGTGGGAAAATTGTGAAACTTAAGGGGGTAAAATAAAAATTATCTATTTTTTGTCACATGACTGTTGATGTAACTCTATGTGGCATTTTCCGCTCAAAATTAGACGGAAGTTTGTTTTGAAAATAAATTGAAAAAAATTATAAACGTTAAGTGCTAAAGTAGAGAATATATATATATATATATATATATTTATTTTCTTATCCAAGGTATCTTCTACCGAGCCCAACCCAACATGACCAAAATCACTTCATATCTGGACAACTGAGAATGAATCCTTGCAGTTCTTGAGATTAATAACTTCCCAAGTATAAATCTTTTAGAATAAACAATGGACTCTCTCTCTCACTCTCTCTCTAGCAACGGTAACAAAGTCACCGACCGATCCTCGGAGGAGGAGGATCTTCTGGAACGCAGCACCAAGAAGATTAAGAGTACCACAGTTGAGCAAGATCATCAAGAGATGGGGGAGAGGTCTACACAAATTGAAACACAACAGATGGAGGAAGAAACTAAACTTCTCGAAGCCAGCAACAAGAAATCCTTCAAGCAAGCTCTCACCGCAACCAAGAATAATGAGAAGGCGTTTGATAATGACCTTGATCGCCTCTCCACTAATGATGAATTCCTCACTGACGAAGAGAACAATGGAGCAGATTCAGACGAGGAACAAGAGTATGGGTTCGACCTAAGAATACCCAAAATCAAACTCCCTCCTAGGCTGATTGTATCAATCCGTAAACCGTGGAAGGATTGCCTCATAGTTCGACTATTGGGAAAAACAGTAGGTTTCAAATTTCTAGTTCACAGATTGAAGAAATTATGGGGATTACAAGGGGATTTTGAAGCCACCGATTTGGGTCTTGGATTCTTCTTGATCAAATTCGAAATGTTGGCCGACTGCAACAGAGTCTACACTGAAGGGCCTTGGATAATCATGGATCATTATCTCACAGTTAGAAGATGGGAACATGATTTCAAGCCATCTGAAGCCAAAGAGGTTGCTAAGGCACTTTGGGTAAGATTTCCACAACTCCTAATCGAATACTATAATGAAAAGGTACTCTACCATATAGCTAAGGTGATAGGCAGACCGTTGAAAGTGGGTTTGAATACAGCCATGTCAATCAGGGGTAGATATGCTCGGGTGTGTGTAGAAGTGGATCTCACAAAACCCCTAGTATCGCGATTCACCATAGGTAAATATAC